AACTCAGGACCTAAAGGGGCAATCCCTGCCTCCAGGAAAAAAGCCACCTTGCAATGGATGGAGATGAAATTGTAGGCGGAGATCTGAAAAAAAAAACCAAACCAAAAAAAACGCAAAAGGTAACGTCAAATTCGCGGTTTAACAACAAAAACGTAGCTTGGCTCACTTTTAAAACCTCCTCGGAGTTTTAAAATGGCTGCTGGAATGGCTCGCTGCTTCTTTTTTAAAAAAAAACGTTTCGTCTTCGCGGCAGCTAACTTAGCCGACGGCTTCTGCTTTTTAATGCCCCCTAACTTTATCATCGCCCCACTCATATAATAACCCACTTAATCCACTGGGACTTCTCCCCTTCCCCCCCCCCCCCCCCCTCTCTTGATACAGACCAATGAAAAAATTGGAAGACTCGATCCGCCTCTGGACTTCGTTGCTTCGCTAAACCTCGGATGGTGTAACTCTTGGGACCCAACTAACTTCCCATTGAACCCCTTTCTAAAAAAAATAGTATATGAAATTTCGTAGGATGGGTATCTGTCAAGCTGAAGCCCCCCCCCCATCCCAACTCCTGTCCTTGAGAGACCTCTGGGTGACTTCCGCCCACCCCCATCAGAAAGAAGGAAGATACAGAAAATCCTCGATTTACGACTGTTCCAAGTTACCAGTGGCCTTCCCCGAAGCCGCTTAAGACTCAGATTCGAAGTTCTGACAGTCCCATTATTGGCTGCTCGACCACAAGCCTGCATTGTCAGCTAATTGCAGCATCCCGCCGTCACCTGACCAAGATTTACAGCAGTGGCCAAAATTGTGGGAACCTTTTGGGAAAAGTCTATTTTCTAAAACTAGCTAATAATACCACTTTTTTTTTTTGGAGTAGTAGTAGTACCATAAAATTATATATATCATTGGAAAGATAATTTAATCAAGATTGTAATGCCATGACTTTTATGGAGGATTTGCTATTAGAATAGCAGTTACAGTATAAAGAAGGAAAGTGAAATGCGTAGAAAAAATGAGATATACAAAAATGATCACCATAGAAAAAATGAGATATGCAGAAATGATCATCACGTCAGTTAATACTTCATTGGGTAGCCTTTAGCATGAATTATGGCCTTACAATGTCTTCCCATGGAGTGAACCAAGACTTTGAGTTCTGCAGCTGTTATCATGTGAAACCAAGATTGAAGGATGGCATCTATTAACTGGGTTTTATTGCTGGGTGGCTTCTGACTAACCAGTTTCTTTAGTCGGCTCCATAGATTTTGATTGGGTTAAGGTCTGGGCTATTCCCAGGGCATTCCAGCAGTAGAATAGGATTATCTTGAAACTCCAGAAAAAAAGTGGTGTTATTAACCATCAAACCTCAAAAATACACTTTCCCCAAAAGGATTCCACAAGTTTGGCCATTACTATACAATGTTTTGTGAGGGTTTTTGTTTTTTCCCCAAATACCAGCTGATTTCTGGCAAAAAAAACCCTCACATCCATTTCAGACGAGGTTTGCTTAATTACTATGGCATTCGCTTGATGGCCACTGGAAAAAGGTTATAAAATCAGTGACTCACTTAATGGCCAGCATGACTTACGGCGGTAATTCTGAACTCGGTTATGGTCGTAAATGGAGGATTTCTTGTACTCCCTAAATGTAGCATCTGGAATAACCTTGTGGTAAGTATTCTGCAAATTACAAAGAAGCATTGTGCTTTAGCCAGAGAATCTTCTGCCCGTGGAGGCCTTTGGATCTTCAGAATGGAAACTCAGCAGGTTGACAACCCAGAAGTATCCTTGGAGCTCTCTGAGCTTGGTGGTTTTCTTGCAGACATTTCATGATCCAGCTAGGTAATATCATCAATGGGAGGAGGAGGAGGAGGAGGAGGACAACAATGGTGTGGTCCTTGGTGCTCTCTGAGCTTGGTTGTTTTCGTGCAGACCCAAACTAATATTGATAATGCTACTTAACTGGGTCACGAAACGACCGCAAGAAAACAACCAAGCTCAGAGAGCCTCAAGAATCCCTCATTTCAACGCTGAGCTACAAATATTCTCCTTTATGGAGTCGTGGTGGCGCAGTGGTTATAATGCACTACTGCAGGCTAATTCTGCCCACAGTTTGATCCTGACCGAGCTCAAGATTGACTCAGCCTTCTGTCCTTCCGAGATCACTAAAATGAGGACCCGGATTGTTGGGGGCAAGAGGCTGACTCTGTAAACCACTTAGAGAGGGCTCTAAAGCACTGTGAAGCGGTATATAAGTCTAAGTCTATTGCTTTATTAACAACTCAGAGTAATTGTTCTGTGTTGCATCAAAGAGAGGTCTTCAGATGTTGGTCCACTTGGCATATTTCTTAAACCCGCGAGAGAAAAGGACCCATCGGCTGTGTGTTTACTACCTTATTCAAAAGAACCCTTGAATAAGGAATTGTTGACATTCGCCAGTCCTTAGAAAAGAAACCAGGAAAGGAAAGATTGGGAGAGACATCACATCGGCTGCTTGGCCAAAGTGCGGCCTCACCACACTTTCAAAGCTGGTCTCTTTGCCCCGTTTCTCTCAACAAGAAATGAATGTGGGCTTCCTCTTTAAATGATCGATATTGATAGAACCGTAAAACGGTGATTCGTAGACGCAAACCAGATTCAAACCATGGCTTGTTTGAATCCAAATCAATCAAATTCCTTGAACCATAATTAAACCAACTTGACTTGGTTTGATTCATTTAATTAAACAACAGGCGGTGAGATTCAGGTGCATCCCGTTAAGTTCTCTTCTCCAACCCTGGAGACTCTGCGGAGAGCTTGATGCTGCAGTTTTTAACCATGATGGGAGACGATCTTGGTTTGTTCCATTATCTCTGAAGGATAATGAGCTAAACCACAGGATTCAGTTGCAGAGGAACCAGGCCAGCCTCCTGGTTCATAGAATGTGGGAAAGGATGAGAACGGGAAGTTGGCTCAGCTTGAGGAATCAACCCAACCTCACGTATTTCAGGAGCCGTGCAAATTCTAAACTAACTTCTGCCTGCTTTTTTCAGAGAAAGACGGCGACAAGGACTTTGCAAACGCCTGATCGTCCGGAAGCTTCGGAAACAAGCCCACTTCTGCAGGAAGACCCAACAATCACAGTTCACGATAGCAGCAATACCTGATAATGGCCTCAGTTCCTTCTTGTGAAGGATCTCAAGTTCTTTTTTTATCGAGCCTGCTTACTTGCAGACGGGATGGTGGTGGAAATGATGAAAGGGAACAGATGACCCCATTGGAGATTTAAAAGACTGTGTTGCCTCTGGAAAGGAGTTGGGGACCCCTTCCCCAAGCAGCCAGCCTACTCCAGGTTGTTGTTTTTTCTCATGCCAAGACTTGAAGAACCTCAATGGCAACCTCGGAGTTGGAGGACTGATGGAGAACCCTTGGAGCAGCCACCTAAAGACTCCAATCTATTCCCCCCATCCTTTGCTGGATCGTTTCCAGCTTCTCATCCCCAGAAAGTCCTTTGATCCTTCTTAAGGAGGATCACCCACTGTCAGCCTTACCGTATAAAACAGACAAGAAACACAACCACACGAGTTAATTTTACTTTTCTTGTGAGGCTACATCAACCGAAACTTGCAAGTCTGAAAGCACAATTCTCCCGCCATCTCCTTTTGCACTCTGAGAAATTTGGGAGGACCTCTTCTGAGCGTCTTCTTTCTCTACCCAATTATCCATCTGTGGGCTAAGCAGGCTATTATCTAACTTTTCCCTTGGCGGCATCTTCTCAGGCGCCAGGAAAATCGGGAGATTCAAGCAAGTTCAAAATGAGTGTAATGGTTTTATTGCTTAAGCTCTCTACAACAATCTGAGCTACTAACGGTCAAGGGGAAGTTAAGAAAGGAATTCGAGGTGGGCTGGTCTTAGATCAGCTGTTGACGTGTTTGACCCCTCTCCCTTTGATTCAGCCTGGTCGTCTCCTACACATCTTTTCCCCCTAGAATCTTTACCACATACTATTACAGCCGTCTCCTTTACAGGATGGGAAACTAGGGAGGGTCCCTTCTAATCCTCATTCTCCAACCATTATGCAGCTGTGGGCTAAGCAGCCTCTTATCTAACCATCCCCCCTGGCAGCATCTCTTGGCTCTTGTCTTCCAAGCCCTTTCACACATGCCATTATATGCTTGACAGCTTAAGAAACTAGGGAGGGTTCCTTCTCATTTTCCACCCGTTACGCAGCTGAGGAGTCTGCAGTCCCTTATCTGACCATCTCCTTGGCAGCGTCTCTGGGTCCTTTTCTCGCAAGGCCATTCTCACATTCCTTTTTTACTGTTCACATAGCTGTCTGATTGTTGGGTCTGTAAAAAGTCCTTTAACTGTAGCCTCTTTCCCTTTTTGACGTGAGAGCTTGCTAGCGCACAACTGCACAAACGGTGGTTCAATTCTGGCACCGCGCAGCACACACGAAGACAAAAAAAAATCAACCGAGTGCAAATTTGTGGATGCAGATGATCTGTTCCTGCTTGGTCTGGGCCTGGAAATGTATCTCAGTTTTCGCCGACAATCTACCAGTATTTAGAAGCACCAGCACGACAAACCAGCTGGAAATAGACATTGTGGCAGGGGTGTGTTTGGGTGCGTGTCTCTTTGCCCAGGGAACAAACCTTTTCAATGTGAACTCTTGAACCCAACACGTGAATCTCCTTCCGGCGGAGACCCCGGCACCCCCAAAGTTCATTCCGCCTTTTTCAGGAAGCACCTCCTCTTTTTTTTAAAAAAAAAGAAAGAAAGAAAAAGGAAGCAAATAATTTTATTCAGCTTTTTTAAAAAAAACATAACAAAGACTAATGCAAACTAAACTAGTAAAACAAACATCAGGAAGGTGCAGAAAAGGAAAAGAAAAACGAGAGAAAGGCAACAAAGAGAAGAATAATTGGGGGAAAAAATCAGCTTCCACCTTCATCGCACTGAGCACACTAGTATAATAACTTTTCACCCTCTTTGAAAATTGCAAATAAATTTTAAAAAAAACACAACCTTCTCCACTTAGTCTGAGTTTTATCTACGCGCAGTCCAGAAATGGTCACCCTTGCAGCAAAAAGTCCACAGGGAGTTACCAGAAATCCCCAAAAATACAGGTAGCCCCTGACTTATGACTCGTCTTCACACTTACGTCACTAGCAACCGTCCCCACAGTCATGTGATCAACATTCAGGCCAGTGGTGGGTTTCAACATTTTTTACTACCGGTTCTGTGGGTGTGGCTTGGTGGGCGTGGCATGGCTTGGTGGGCGTGGCAGGGGAAGGATACTGCAAAGTCCCCATTTCCTCCCAATCAGCTGGGACTTGGGAGGCAAAGAATAGATGGGAGCGGGGCCAGTCAGAATTTTTAGTACCGGTTCTCCAAACTACTCAAAACTTCCGCTACCGGTTCTCCAGAACTGGTCAGAACCTGCTGAAACCCACCTCTGATTCAGGCACTTGGCAACCGGCATAGATGTACAAGAGTTTGCAGCATCCCAAGGTCACTCTTTACTACTTTGCCCCCTGCTTTCCTACAAGCAAAGTCAACCGGACAAGCTGGAATTCACTTAATGACTTAATGTTAAGTGTGTTTCACTTAACAACTGCAGTTTCACTTAACAACATGCACACTGGTGGTAAAATTGGGTGTGCGACTCACCTAACAACTTCCTTGCTTAGCAACAAAAATTCTGGTCCCAAGAGTAGAGAGTAAGGAAGAAGTGAGAGAGAAGGAAGAGAAAGGAAAGAGAGAGAAGAGAAAGGGAAAGGGAAAGAGAAGAGAAAAGAGAGGAAGAGAAGGAAGAAAAAGAAGAGGAAGAGAGAAAGAGGAGGGAGAGGATAGAGAAAGGAGGGAGAGAGAAGTGAGAAAAGAGAAAGGGAAAACAGAGAAGTGAGAAGAGAGGAAGAGAAAGTAGAGAGAGGGGAGAGAGAAGAGAGAAAAGTGAGAAAGAAGTGAGAGAAGGAGGAGAAAGGGAAGAGAGAAGAGAAGGAAGAAAGAAAGGGAGAGAGAAGAGAGGATAGAGAAAGGGAGAGAGAAGTGAGAAAAGAGAAAGGGAAAACAGAGAAGTGAGAAGAGAGGAGAAAGAAGAGAGTTTTGTGTTTCATTCTATTATTTATTATTTATTATTTTATTATTCATATTTCTATGCCGCCCACTCTCCGAGGACTCTGGGCGGCTTACACCAAAGACAGTATACTAAATAGCACATTGCCCCCAACAATCCGGGTCCTCATTTTACCCACCTCGGAAGGATGGAAGGCTGAGTCAACCGACTCAGCCTTCCATCGACTTCTTCCGACTCACCTTGAGCCGGTGAGATTTGATCCGCTGATCTGCTGAACTAGCAGTCAGCTGAAGTAACTGCAGTACTGCACCCTAACCACTGCGCCACCTCAGCTCTATTCTATCCACGGGTCCTTGAGGGTCCAACTCTTTATTTTTCACAAGAGAGAAAATATCACAGTTTACAGCTTTTGATGCGGGTTTCAGTACTCCATTTGGCCACTAGGTGGAGGTGTTGCATTGTGATTTTTACATTTCCGTTTATTGTCCAAACTGAGATATAACCGGGAAATTCATCTGGGTTAGGAAAAAGTCCAGCTTCTTGTATGGGGATAAAGTGGGATATCTGAGTCTGAGGACCCCACAATCACCTTTGCGTCAGATGGTGGAGGCCCTGTTCTCTGAGCTCAGCCTCTCAATAAGCTGTGATTAAACATCACCCAACTGACGAGGTCAGGTGTCAGCAACCTGCGGCTCCAGAGCTGCATGCGGCTCTTTGGGCCCTCTGCTGTGGCTCCCTGTCGGGTGATCCCACCACTGGCTGGCCCCCCCCTCGCCCTCCCAGTCACTCCTCACCTGGCCTGAAAAGGTAAGGGCGACGACAGGTGATGGAGAAGTGGCCGAGGCCGAGAGATACAGAGAGAGAGGTGAAGAGAGAGGGAGGAGGGAGGGAGAGAGAGAGATGTCAAAAGGGTTTTGTGGTTCCCGGTGAGATGCTGAGAGTGTCTGAGTTTTAGACCCTCTCTGGGCTTTTGAATTTGAGCTTGTGTTCTGATTGGTTGTCAGTCTCCCATGGGGCCATGCAGGGGTAACTTTGTAGGTTGTCTTTGTCCCAGGCTTGGTTGACTCTTGCTGGGTGATGATGTAATGAAAGGGATTTGGGAAATTCCTACTATGGCTCTGCCTGAAAGAGGTAGATCTTTGTTATGTAGAATAGACTGGCCCAGGCCTTCATGGCCCATTGACAAAGGTGCGGGGGGGGGGGTTGAGTTTCTTCCTCCCTTTTAGGGGAAATATTCTGCCCTTTTAATATTTCCTAAAATATTTCATTTTCCTAGGCGAGGGGTGGGTGCTAACTTCCTACAAGAGTCAAGCACAATTCTCTTCGATGGACAGAAGAGAAAAGTCAACCCCAAATAGCTCCATCAGGCTCCATTGCGGGCTGGTAGTTAGGATCTCATCATTAATTCATTCATCGACATCTCAACTTTGAAAGAGAGTGTGCCCACCGCAAAAAATCACAAGCCCCCTCTAGGAGACAATCCGAGTTACTCTGACCATCCTCTCTGCCCTGAATGGTCATCTTCTTAGAGAGGTTGAAACCTCGAGGAATGGAAGGTGGTTTGAACCCATCAGGGGACTAAGGTTCTTCAGCCATGGTGAACAGCTCGGGAGACAATAGCAATAGCACTTAGACTTATATACCGCTTTGCAGTGCTTTTACAGCCCTCTCTAAGCAGAGTCAGCCTCTTGCCCCCAACAATCTGGGTCCCCATTTTACCCACCTTGGAAGGATGGAAGGCTGAGTCAACTTAGAGTCAGTCAGGATCAAACTGCTGGCAGTGGGCAGAGGGAAGGAAGGAAGGGAAGGAAGGAAGGAAGGAAGGAAGGAAGGAAGGAAGGGAAAAAGAAAAGCAATAGTACTTAGACTTATATACCGCTTTGCAGTGCTTTTACAGCCCTCTCTAAGCGATTTACAGAGTCAGTCTATTGCCCCCAACAATCTGGGTCCTCATTTTACCCACCTTGGAAGGATGGAAGGCTGAGTCAACCTAGAGCCAGTCAGGATCAAACTGCTGGCAGTGGGCAGAGGGAGGAAGGAAGGAAGGAAGGAAGGAAGGAAGGAAGGAAGGAAGGAAGGAAAGAGCAATAGCAATACAGCCCTCTCTAACTGGTTTTACAGAGTCAGCCTATTGCCCCCAATAATCTGGGTCCTCGGAAGGATGCCAGACTGAGTCAACCTTGAGCCTGGTGAGATTTGAACTGCCAAATTGCAGTCAGCCAGCAGTCAGCAGATGTAGCCTGCAGTACTGCGCTCTAACCACTGCGCCACTGCGGCTCAACCTAGAGGAGACGTGAAATTGATGTTCCGAAGCTTGGGTAGAAATATTAAGACTCAATTTCCACCATACATTGAGTATATTTATCATCGGAGAAGCTTTTAAGGAAATGCTTGTGTCTCCAGCAATCTTGGAGGCTGAATTACATTAGCATCGAGCTGTCTCAGCTTTATAACTTGAGACCGGCTGTCTAGAGAGGGGACATGGGTTATGAATAACATTGCTGAGAAGGACTTGGCTTTCAGGACTGGGCTGGAGAAGGCCACTCAGGGCCCCTCTGGAGGCTTTGGAGTCCAGATCTGATAACAGAATGGAATAACAGAGTTGGAAGGGACCTTGGAGGTCTTCTAATCCAGGTGTCAGCAACCTGTGGCTCCAGAGCCGCATGCGGCTCTTTGGGCCCTCTGCTGTGGCTCCCTGTCGGGTGATCCCACCACTGGCTGGTCCCACGTCTTGCCCTCCCAGTCACTCCTGCTTGGCCTGAGGAGGTAAGGGCGATGGCAGGTGATGGAGAAGTGCCCGGAGCAGAGACAGAGAGATTGCAGAGAGAGGGGGAGAGAGAGGGAGAGAGATACAGAGAGAGGGGGAGAGACAGAGACAGAGATGCAGAGAGAGGGGGGAGAGAGAGACAGAGAGAGATACAGAGAGAGAGGTGGAGAGAGGGAGAGATACAGAGAGAGGGGGAGAGAGAGAGACAGAGAGAGAGACAGAGAGAGAGGTGGAGAGAGGGAGAGATACAGAGAGAGGGGGAGACAGAGAGACAGAGAGAGAGACAGAGAGAGGTGAGAGAGGGAGAGATACAGAGAGAGGGGAGAGAGAGAGACAGAGAGAGAGACAGAGAGAGAGGTGGAGAGAGGGAGAGATACAGAGGGGGAGACAGAGAGACAGAGAGAGAGACAGAGAGAGAGGTGGAGAGGGAGAGATACAGAGAGAGGGGGAGAGAGAGAGACAGAGAGAGACAGAGAGAGAGGTGGAGAGGGAGAGATACAGAGAGAGGGGGAGAGAGAGAGAGACAGAGATACAGAGAGAGGGGAGAGAGGGAGAGAGATACAGAGAGAGGGGGAGAGACAGAGAGACAGAGATACAGAGAGAGAGGTGGAGAGAGGGAGAGATACAGAGAGAGGGGGAGAGAGAGAGACATAGAGAGATACAGAGAGAGAGGGGAGAGAGGGAGAGATACAGAGAGAGGGGGAGAGAGAGAGACAGAGAGAGAGACAGAGAGAGAGGTGGAGAGGGAGAGATACAGAGAGAGGGGGAGACAGAGAGACAGAGAGAGATACAGAGAGAGAGGTGGAGAGGGAGAGATACAGAGAGAGGGAGAGAGAGAGAGAGAGAGAGACAGAGAGAGAGGTGGAGAGAGGGAGAGAGATACAGAGAGGGGGAGAGACAGAGAGACAGAGATACAGAGAGAGAGGTGGAGAGAGGGAGAGATACAGAGAGAGGGGGAGAGAGAGAGACATAGAGAGATACAGAGAGAGAGGTGGAGAGAGAGGGAGAGAGATACAAAGAGAGGGGGAGAGAGAGACAGAGAGAGATACGGAGAGAGAGGGAGAGAGATACAGAGAGAGGGGGAGAGAGAGAGAGACAGAGAGAGAACGGAGAGAGGAGAGAGATACAGAGAGAGGTGGAGAGAGGGAGAGATACAGAGAGGGGGAGAGAGAGACAGAGAG